GTTTTGAGAATGATGTACAAATGCGCTTTACACAATTGATGTGTGTATGGATTGCGATAACAGTTGTATGAGCCCCTAATAAAATGTTTAAAATAGAAAAAAAAATGGTGAAGGAGACAAGAAAAAAAAGTCAAGACAGGAAAGAAAAAGAGCTGCCTCCCCCCTCCCCCACTATTTGCAAAAAGGAGGTAAATGAATGAGGTCTCAACAAATAATGTAATCAATGAGTCAGTTTCCATTAAGGAATCTTCTTTACATTTTATTGAATCCCATCATGCACTTCATATTTACAGCAGAACCCTATTAAAACTGCCTCATCATGGCAACCATATGATGAAGAACTCTTGGACCCATCATTCTGGCCATTTACTGATTCAATTTTGCCATCAGAGACTGGCTCAGATTTTTACAAATGTCACCAACTTTGAAAAATCCTTTGTTAGCACCCATCTTTTTAGCATTAGTGCAAATTTAGTATATTGTGTAAAAAGTTCTTGAGCATATCTTGTTGACACACTTGATCCTCTTGCTACTCTTTGGATTTTTCCAGGCTGCTTTATAAAACCCTTGGCAGTATCCATACTATCAAGTTCCTGATCATTTATACTATTCATTATCATCATTGATTTCCTTAGGCTTGTCAGTGACTCCTGTTCATTTCCTTTGATCATAAAATCTGATCCCAAACCAGGGATCATCTCCAGGATCTGACTGGAGGGGCCCATTTTCTTGATTTTTTGGAAACTAATAATACATATCTTGTAATGTAACTTGGCTATGTTTCAACTTCCCTATAAGACCTCCATTGTCATCCAAATTCAACCCATTGACTTTATCTATCAGTCCTTCAATGCCACCCATACCAAGAAGTTTACTAATGAAAGGCTGTTTTAAAAGCCTCATAGTCATTTATATGTTCCCCTGAACCAATGAAAATAATTGGAATTTTGTTGCAGCAACTGCACTGAGTGCACCACCACTTTTTTCACAGCTATCAAGTTTTGTCACTATTTCTGAAGCTACATCTACTTTACCTTTAAAAGCTTTGGACTGGGCTTCACAAGCCTGTCTAATGGAGGCATCCATCATATAAACAATATTGTCTGGTTGTATAGCATTAGTAACTTGAAGCATTTATTCAAACAGAGAATCTTATTATTTATAGCAGCCACTTGTATCAACAATAATAATTTCAAATTTTTCATTTTTGAATTTTTCCACTCCTTCAAAGGAAATGATAACAGGAACCATTTCCATATATTTTCCATGGAATGGAATTCTTGCCTTGTTTAATGGATCAAAAGCCACCGCTTTGAAAATGTCTGCAAATATCAAACATTTCTTCCAATCTGTCCTATAGTAATAATATGCTAACTTTGAACATGTTTCTGGTTTTACCACTCCCTTGTCCTCCAGGAAACATGATCACATTCTGTTTCCCTTTAGTGGGTGTACAGGCTTTAAATTCAGGGTCTATGAGGTTTACAAGTTCTTAAAGTACAGCATGCTGAATCATTTCTTTTGTAAAGACCAAAAGTCGGATCTTCAAGATCAATAGCAGACTGTGCATTCTCTCTTAACTGGTTAACCAGTTAAATATTAACACCTGCTTCTAATAACACTGTACATAGTTATTTTGGCATAGCATTTAATGCCTCCTCATCAAATGGTGGCAATGCTCAATGAGAGTAATGCTGATGTTATTATCTTCCAAGGTCTGCCATTATCATCTTCAAGGCTTATTAAGATACACTTATGAGGAAATGCACAGGACACCACTAATAACACAGCCCAAAGGGCCCGGGATCCCATTGTGAGTCCCAAACCAAAGGAAGAAACCAAGGAAAGCCAAATGATCAAATTCTATAAACCAAAGTCCCAAAGCCAAGAGCCATTATGCCAACTCCCAGGAGCTGGATGATCAACTGCCACCAAAATGTCTGCCCAATGAATCCAGTGTTCTTTAGAGTCTTTATATATAAATTGGGGAGATATAGCAAGTTTATTTTTTAAAGAGATATTCTGTAACAAGAACAACATTTAATCCAACCAGTAACAGCATATGATAAGGGTTATATTACAATAGGCACCAGATGTTGTTTCAAATTTGGATCTCTACCCCAATATCTTACATTCAAAGTATTATTGAAGTAGTTAAAATTAGATTCCAGATTGCTAGGCTTTGAATATGAATGATAAGTTTTCTATTGAACCTGCTTCCCCTCAAATAATTCAAGTTTTCTGAAGATAAAAACTGTCAAAATCCAATTAGCAGCCTTCTGTAAAGAGGGAAAGTGATTATGTAAAAAACATTTTTAAGCTAGAAAATTGTCAGGAGTGTTTCTTTTACCTGAGTGATTACTTTGTTTGTTTGTTTTATCTATCAGAATAATAAATCCACACCATACTCTATCTGCTCTAAATATAAAAACCATCTTCATTTTAAAGAAAGGGTATTTCTCTAAGAATTCAAGTGTTAAAGCCACTTACCCACATTTAGCTACTGGAGCCACCTGATCAATCTGTTTCTGTGATGAGCTATTTCCCTTCCTAACAAAACCATTGGCTTGATTCCTGAGACTGCTTCAAATTCACATCTTAAGTTCCTCTTCAATGCATATTGTGGCCGATACAAATCTGCCATGCAGACTACCCTCTATTCAAGTGCTATCTTAAAAAAAAATAAAGACACATCTTATTAACTTTTAAATCAGGAAGCTTCCCTTCACTAATTCTTCTTCTCCCACAGAGAAGAATACAATGTATGGTTTACCAGTTATTACATTTTTTTATTTACCAAAACTCTTTACTCCCAAATTGCCTTGTTGGAAAGATTGTTCAAATTATTATCAATCAGTGAATTGTTGTTGTCCTAGAACAATTCTTAGACCAATTGAACAAAAGTAGCTACTGAAATGTACTAATCAGAACTTTTGCCTGTTTCGAGAGACAATATGGATTCAAAGGTTATTCATGAAATTTATCTTCCATATAACATAACAAAGTGCTTTTTTAGTGCAACCTGAGAATTACCCTGGCCACATTCCACTCCAAAATCAACCTATAGAACATTATTCTAGTAGTGACAATTTATAGTCATATATTCCCTTGAAAAAACATTTTTTTAAAGTCATAACAAATCTGTGTATAGATTATTATTGCACTAAGAAAAGAAAATCCCACATATGTATTATGAATTCTAGGAACCACTTCATTCATTCGGAGGTACAATGTATGTTTCCATTTGAAAACACATCCTAGAATGTGTATTATAACTACCTTAGAAATATAGCTTGCACTATAACATTCCCAAAACACGTTCCATTATAGTTAAGTGTTTCCAAGTAGTATAAATCCCTGAGTTAAATGTGAGGTTGATCAATTAGGGAAAAGGTAAGAACATTTATGACCATTATTTTAAGGTAAGAGATTTTCTTCACCCTTCACTTTGATATATAAATCCAGATACATATGCTATTGGTGATAGCGAATTATATAGAATCACCTTAAATATCTTTCTTTTTTTTTTTAATGCCTAGATTGTTATAGGATAGCAATCACAATTTTAAACTTGGTCCAAAAGTCATCGGTAAATTAGAAATTTAACACAAAAGTGCAGAAGGAATAAGGGATTTCTTATATTAACACTGTTTACTTTCCTTCATAAAAGGCTTTTTGGCAAGTTCACAGTTAAACATTAATCTCTGTCATTTGAGCCAATAATAGGCCCTGAGTCCACACCATATGTCAAATATCAATATGGTGAAGAGGATATGGTCCACATTTTCTGATGCATTGGTTTTCAAATATTTGGTCCATCAGCCAAGAATTTAAAATCTTGGTCATACAGGCATTCGTTGTAACGAGATTTCATATACACACCAGTAGTGTTCACAGAGTTTATTTAGACTTCTCGAAGTTCAGGGAACACTGAAAGGAAGTATTCCATCTTCCTGGACTGGTATCTGAAGTGTTCTGATGCCATTTCACTGCCTTTCCTGTTGGAGAGATTACTTTTGGAGAAAAGATTTAAAAATCTTCCAGTCACAAAATTGTCTGGGTCAGATATTACCACCTTCAAACAGGTATTACCTTCATCTTTCAAAGCATGGAGCAATGCAAGGATAATGTTCATTTATTTGGTAACTCGGGTTATGAGAAACATTCAGGTAGGGATTAACTTCTACTGGCATTGCTAGTGACATCCCAATACCAGTCTGCACGTGCCCAAGGCTCTGAATACTAGTTTGGAAGCCATCAGGGCATGTCTGTAATGTGTAAGCTGAGGGGTGTACGGTAGATACAAACTGCTGATAGCTTGGCTGTTCTGACACAGGATAGTGATACTGCAGTGAAGGCTGATGAATCTGATGGAGATACTGAGGTTGCTGAAAGTAAACTGGCATGGAGGACTGGGAGGGTGTCTGGTACACACTTGGTTGTGCTAATTGAGGTCCTGCTTGCCCGATCTCTTTGTTTGCTTCTTTCACATTATTATTATGAGCAATCAACAGCCATTCAACACACTGAGCTAGGAAATCCCAAGAGTAAGCAGTAAGATGAAGTAGTCTTGTAGGCCACGTTGGAGAAAGACGAAGTATAATCCTTGAAGAAGCCACACATGCAGCAGCTATTAAAGAAGGTGCATAATTTAGAAAGGCATAATCTTGCAGGGACACTTGTAGGAAGTAATCCACATATTTGGCCATGAAGAGTTTCATTTTTTCTGAGCAAATCATTGGCCAGCCATCATGAAGGTCTGTTACATGTACTGATTCACACAGATAATACTCAATGAAATGGGCAGCTGTTGGAAGGCAGAGGTTCCACTGAAAGGTTTCTAATAAAAATAGTTCCATATGTAGCAAGTACTGTTTTGTTAATATTAGGTTCATCCTAGTCATAAAGCCCAAGCTGTTGAGTTGCTCCAGCTTAGGCACACTGACTTCTTTTTCTTCAAATTTACTTGCTAAAAGCAGACAGGTAAGCGCTACTAAATGCAGCTGCTGGAAAGAGATGTCAAAGCGATCCATAACTAGGTCTAGCAAATAGACAGCGAGATGTCTGGCAGAAGGACAGAGAGTGAAGTGATGACTCACAATGGCAATCATGTCCGCAAAATACCTTCTGAGACTTAGCTGAGGGGACTGTCCCTTGTAGGAAGGCAACTTCAGCTCCTTGTAGCGAAGCGCTTGGTGCATATCAGCGGTCAGCTGTCCTTGCCACCACTGCCTCTCCAGCTCCATGGGTCCGGGCGGCGCGCGGAACCAGCCGCGGCGGCAGTCTCGGTCGGGAATCCTGGCCATCGCCGCCTGAGCCCGGCCGCCGGCGTCGCGGGCGGAGCTGCCCTGCGCTCCCTGCGGACAGTCAGCTGCGAAGCGCCCGCCGCAGCTTGGACCGGCTCCGACGCGCTGGAGCCGCCCGTGGTTAAAGGACCGGCAGGAGGCTCCGCGTATAAAGCCAGCGCAGGGGCACATGCGGCTTGGCCGCTGCCAATCTCGTCTCGCGATACAGCGGGGTCACGTCGAGTCGTCCAATTGGCCGTCCAAGCGGGGTCAGGTGCACGCCCTGATCCCTGGGCGCATCTCCAGCCCCGCCCTCTCAATATAGGTCTTGAAAGGTTCTTTTTGATGATGAACGCAATGCCATGCCTCTTGAATTGGCCATTCCCAGAAGAGTAAACCATATGACTGCCTCATTCAAACTAGCCAATGCTAGTCCGTTTTAACTCACGAACGCCTATGTTATCAATCTTCCTGCATTCCATTTCATTTTTGACGACTTCCTGTTATTGAAAGATGCTTGCAGCTGTTTCTTCTCATTTTGAGTCATAACAGCAAATAAAGACCCCGAAGACTTTACTCTAAAAGGCTTGACTCCAACCACGTCATTATGGCGGACACTACTTTGAGAACCAGCTATTCCTCATATTTGGAGTATTTCCTGACCTGAGGGGCTCATCTCTGGCGTTCTCTCTGACAATGGAGGTTACTTCATTGTAAAAGTACCAGGGAGCCATTTTTTTTTTGTTAACACTAGCAATATAGTATCCTATTTAAAAGTGTGGACATTGGAACTGAGAATTTCATACATCAAAGGCGGCAATGCTAACTGATCTTTGGAAAATATTTGGCAGTGTGAAGTAATACTTGCCATGTATTTATTCCATGATTCAGTAGTTCTCATCCGGGTTCATATACCGAAGAGAAATGAAAACTCATTTTTTGGGAAAAGTTCATAATGGCTTTATGCATAAATAGATGTACACTGGAACATATCAAAATGCATGACAACGGAAGAATATATCAATAAAATTTTGATACACACAGCATGAGAAACTTAAAACAATAAAAATAAAGAGAAACAATGTATCAGTGAGACATTCAACGGGAAGTTTTATCTCAAAATATGAGAATGTAAGTCAAAAACGATTGCTACTTGAGTTCTGGTTCATGCAGACATGTTTTATTCCAAATAAGATATGCTTGAACATGACTCTGTGATGACTGACACGTTTTCTCAGGAATAGATTCATTTTAGTCTCTTTAGAGTGTCTTTGAAAAAGGTTCCTAAATAAATAAATAAAATAAAAAGGTTCCAATCAAAACAGTGGCTCCAAAGAGGATCTGCTGAGCCAGTTAAATTCAAGGCAGAGAGGTCACTTCAGGAACTATATTGCAACTATATTATTTTTGAAGGAGGGGATTCCAAAGACAACTGGTTTTTTTTTGGGGGGGGGTATTGAGGACAAAGGATGATCATGGGCAGTTATGAAGAAGTTTTAAGAAAACGTAAAACTATAGTGATGGGAAAAGACCAGGAAAGTTCTGGCAAGGAATAACTTTCCTTCAGGACAATACACCTACTCATTCTATAAGTTTAGCAAGGGTTATTAAATGAGAATTTCACTATGAAATTCACGATGAGAATTTCAGCATGAAATCCCCTATCCACCATAAAGCACTGCTTTTATTTCTTTAGATTTAGTTTTGTTTTAAAAATTGAACATTACTTGAATCCCTCAGGATGCCAGAATTGACAGTTCGATGTGATTCTAATGGAAAAGTGAAGAATTCTTTGGGGAAAGAGTTAGAGATAGAAATTCCACTTTCAGAAGTACATAGACCTTGTTGTTTCAGATGTATCAAGAAACAACAACTTCACATTTTCACATTATTTTTTAATATGTGTCTATTATTTTGTAGAAATATTTCATTATTTGCCCTTGTATTATGCAATAGAACTATAGAAACGAGAGGAAATCACATATATGATTTCATTCATGTGAGGTCCAAGAACAGGCAAACATAATTGATATATCTTCATAGGTAATCAGCATAGTGGCTACTTCTGAGAGGCATATTGATTGTGAAGCAGCACAATGAAAGCCTTCTTTATCTTTCCCTGGGTGGTGGTTTCATCAATCTGTTTATGAGTAAAATTAATTATACCTTATAATTAAGATTATGTTACTTTATGTACATATTATGGCACAATAAAATATAGGGCAAACACATGTAAACAAACACATACACATAGTTGTGAATACTTGCATTAGAATAAGGTATCTTTACTATCAATTTATTATCTGTGGGCTGGGCAGAAATTTTGTTTACTTTCTCTTAGCTTCACTTTTATCATCTATAGATTGAGGATTATAAGTTGCACCATCTTATAGGCTTTTCTAATACTCATCTTATAGCCTTTTACAAGGAAGCCCTAGTGGCGCAGTGGTTAGGCTTTAGGGTATAGTTAGAAACCACCAATCACTCTGTGGGATAAAAATAAGGATTTCTGTTCATGTAAAGATGTATAGCCTTGGAAACCCATGGGAGGAATTCTACACTGTCCCACAACTTCAATATGGGTGGAATCCAAATGAATTTTTTGTTTTGTTGTGTTTTACAGGTATTTATCAAAATATTTAAGATAATTGCCTAAGTAAAGCATGTAAGGCACTGTCTGGCCAAATAAATATAACATAATTTTTTATAAATATTTTATTGTTGTTGAGATAATATGCAGGACATAGATCAATTAAAATTTTTCCACATGTACAATTCAGTGCACTGATTGTATTATTTGAGGTATGTAAGCAATCTCACCCTCTTTTTCTATGCTGTTCCTTCCTCATTAAAATAAATTCCCTGTCTGCTAAGTTTCCTATCTAATATTCTAAGATGCTATTTAATTCCTTATGTTATTGGGTGCCTTCAGGTGAACTTCAATTTACAGAAATTCTTTGTACACCAAAAGGAAATACTTCCTGGTCTTGACCCATTGTCACAACAATTTTTAATTTTTGAGTCCGTTGTTGTAGTCATTTTGTAAATACATCTTATTGAGGCTTTTCCTCTTTTTAAAATCTTTACTTCACCAAACATATGGTCCATTCCCAAGCACTGGTCTCTCATGATATCTTTTGAAGGAGGCTTCTGTCTGTACGTCCTCCAAAACAGATATGATTGTTCATCAGGAAAGCGATGGGATCTTCAATATTCTTTACCAACACGATTATTCAAATATATCAATTCTTTCCCAGGCTGTCCTATTTGTTCTCCGGCTTTTTGCATGCATATGAGGCAATTTAAAAGATCATGACTTATGTCAGGTACACCTTAATCCTCAAAGTGAACTCCTTGCTCTTTCAAACTTTAAATGGGATTTGTGTGACAGATTTGCCCACTGTAATACGTCAATTGTTTCCCTGACTGCTGCTTACATGAGCCTTGATGATGGATCTAAGTAAAATGAACACTTTTGCAACTTCAATATTTTTTCCTATTTATCATGATGTTATCTATTGGACCTGTTTTGAGTATTTTTTGTTTTCTTTACACTGAATTAGAATCCATAATAAAAGCTTTGATTTTTACCACTAAGCGCCTTAAGAAGGAAAGGTTGTTTCATCCTGATATCATGTTCTTCTGTGTATAGTCCAGCCTCTCAGATGATTGGATCAGCACACACAGTGAGTATGTATGGCGAAAGGACCCAACCATCTTTCCTGACTTTAAATTACATCATATCCCCTCTACTTCTACACTGGGCTTGATAAGTTATTACAATGGCCACCCAGAACTCATATACAATAATCATAATTAATGGGGTTTGTTAGGTGCGTTAACAGGTTACCACAACCCAGGGTTAGTAAACAGTAAGTATATAGTCATTGATCCATAGCAACACAGTAAGCCATTCTCCAGTCTTCATACGCTCAGCCAGAGGCTACCTTGGCCTCTGCCTCCCTGGGCCAGGAAGTCAGCTATGTGCTCTGCTTCACTGTCTCATAGTCTCAATGCTGATCCTCTGTTCTGTCTTACGCTCTCCTTGTCCCTGTCTCTAGTGACTCTGGTCTCGACCTCAACTACTTCAGACAGAAATCTTTAGCATGCTACAGTATTGACTCTTCTTCCAATTGTCCTTGGATGTCTTTCTCTTTCTGCCAATATGGCTCATGCTTATAGTTGGGGGTGGGGGTGGGGTGGGGTGGCAATTAAAATGAACCAATCCCTTTCATTAGTGCAATGACTACATATGTAATAATTTCGTGGGAGTTACAGATACATGGATAGAAATCATATCAAGAAATTTCAGTCTACCACGGGTATGATATACTCCAGCTTGTACTTTGGATCTCCTGGACCTGTTCTATTTTTCTTCAGCTTCAACTTGGACTCACATATGAGTAATTGCTAGTGTGTTTTGCAATCAGTCCCTAGCCCTGACCTGCATGATAATATTGAGCTTTTCATCATAGTTTTCTACAGATGCAGTTGATTTGGTTCCTGTTTATTCTATCAGTTGGTGCACACATTTATAGTTGCCATTGGTATCATTTTGGTGCAGGGCTCATAATTTTTTTAATTGTCATAGTTGTAGTCCCATCAGAATCTTGCTAATTAAACATTACACTCATTTCTTAAATTATCTAAAACATACAAATGTAAAGAAAAATAAAGTGTAGTGTGTATCTCACAAAACAGTAATTTAAACTGCAGATAGGAAATCATTTTACCTTTTAATATCATTTAAAAAGCAATTAAAGTACTTCTAAGAAAGGGGGCTGAGAATAAAGTAATGTAGAGTATAAATGTATTTCTAAGATGTTGGAAATAATATCTATGGCAACAAAATCTTTGGACAATAAATCTATAGTAGTTAAATTGGACAATGTGCCTAGAAAATTTTCTTAAGAATTATTCTGTTGTGGAGAAACATTTGTCTACCTATTCTTCAATGCAAC